GGGCAGGTAGGAAGCATTAAACAACTAGAGGAAAGTTGTATGTTTCACGGTGCTGTACTCCACCCTGACTGGCTCATCTCTTCCTTGTGACCTTTCTGTATGGGGATGTCCAACTGTCTACAGATGGTCTTGGGTTGCCACTCTGCCCTTCCCCTCATTTACATTACCATGATTTTACTTACTGGGCCTGATACCTGATCCCATCAACACCTCACAATCACACAGGCTGGTGTGCTTCTTCCATGTGGGCTTTGTTGCTTCTCACCTAGATCGCCGCTTATTTACCTTCAAACCTTTAAGACCCCAGACACCATGTCTTTTGATAGCTGGGCACCATCAACTTTCTTCACCACTTTGCTTATGTACCCATTTTGTCTTCAGCAATTGTGTCAGGAAGGTGAGCATCACAGAATGCCAGGTTATTAGAACAAAGTGTTCTTGTGTTGAGGGAGTACTTGAGTAAAGGTCCAATGTCCATCTGCTACCTTAATATTTAACATATAAATATATGTACATAGATCTATTTCCCTATCATTATATATAAGTATATTTATGTATGAACATGCCTGTATTTAGACCTCTATAAATGTCCTTTTCCTCCTAGTTCTTTCCTCTATTTCATTTTACTTTCCTTTGTTCCACTATCATGTTCAACTCTCATTCAGCTTTTGTTAATTCCACTTGGCTACCTTGCACTTGATCAAGCCCCACAACACATCCTATTCCCTCCTCACCATCACTGTCAATTTTAGATCACTTGTTGTTCCCTTGTCCCTGGGTTTGTTGGCTCCCCTCTATCTTTCCCCCACCTCTCCCTCTCCCCATGTGCCTCCGGAACTGTTGGCCCTGTCCTGTTGTTTTCTCCTCCGGATTGTTTATCCCACCTATCTTACCTAGATAGACATGCAAAAACAATAATAAGCACAAAAACAAAACAAAGCAAAACAAACACCCCCCACCCCCCAAAAAAAGCCCAAATAACAAAAACAACAAACGAAAAGCCTATAAACAGTCTTTTTGTTGACCGTTATGAGTATTTTCTGGTCGAGTCTGATGGGGTGCCATGCCCTGGCCCCTGAAGTCTATTTTTGGGATTTCTTAGGGACTTCATTGTTTTGCTCCCCTTGCTGCTCTGTTGCACACCTTTAGTGTTTTGCCCTGGTGTGGTGGGATCAGATGTGGCATGATTCCCGCACTGTCTCCAGTGTTGTTCCCTGTAGCGCTATGGGTCAGTGAGGGACGTCGTGTCTCGTGGTGGGGCCAGTCCAATTGTCCTCTCTGTGCATTGGCTGCTCTGACAGGAATATTATCCTTGGGGCTTGGTGGGTTAGGATGTGTTCCACTCTTTCTCTCTCCTTCCCTCTTAGTTTGCTCCTTTGTTCTCTGATCGGATGCGCCCTTCTCCTGACCTGTAGCTTCAGTGCTGTCCTCTGTCATGCATTCTTCTGGGGGATGGGTGATGGGTGGGACATAACCTACCATATTGCTTAAGTCCATCTTTATGTACATTTAAAATATTTTCCTGGTTGCTATCAGTCTGTATAGCTTCTTCAAATGCGTTTTTCTATTCACATCTTTTAGCCCACAATACTCTTGTGATTAAAAAATTTGACAAATGTACTTCAATTATATGTAGTCTATATATACATCACTATTGTCAATATGAAAAACGGATGAATAACTGTAGTGTTTCTAAAGTCCCTTTGTTCCTAAAGCCATCAACTAATTTAACTTTTTTATTGGCCTAGCTGTAAAAATATCTCCTTACTACCTGTCTCATGGAGGGCATTCTTGTGTGTTGCACAATTCCTAACATGCATGGTATGACACTGAATCAAGCTTTTAATTTGTGTTGGTGTGTACCCAAGGGGGACCCTGTGATTGTGAGGCTGGGTCCAGGTAGAGTGGTTACTTCAGAGTTGAATGGTTATTGTAACTCTTGTTCTTCTTACAATGCCACACACTGCCTCTTCTCGTAATCATAGCCTATGAAACCAATCCAACAACAACCACAAAAGCCCAGTTGTTGTTGAGTCAACTTGGATTCGTGGTGAGCCTGATGTGTCAGAGTAGAATTAGGTTCCAGAGAACGTTCAAGGGTTGACCTTTGAGAAGCTAGGTAAGAATTCATTGAGTGAGCAGACCTCTCCTGTCTTTGGCGATGCTAAAATATTCCCAGTAGAGGGTCACCAGGAGGATGGAGAGGACTGGAAACCAAATCACGGAATTATATTGTGTGACATAATGCCCGATGAGTGCTTACTGTCTGCCAGACCCTGCACTTAAGTACCTTGCTATTCCATTTCATCCTCAAATCATCCCATTGCACCTCGTTTTACAGATGAGGAAATCAAGATACAAAGGTTAAGTGGTCGTTCAATGTCATACGGCGATTGTAAGACAAAGCCTATGCTTTGGGGTTGGAGGAAATGAGGAAGCACAGACACATAGAAGCCATAATAACTGTCTTCAAATGAACAAAATGCTTTCATATACGAGAAGTCATAATTTTGTTGCATGGGAGCTTCTCACTCACAACTCACTGCCATGGGGTTCCTTCTGACCCAGAGCGACCCGACCCTGTAGGACAGGACACAACAGCTCGTTGACTTTCTGAGGCCAAAGATCTTCACGGGCCCTTTCTTTAGCAGCCTCCCCACTCCACCAGGCTCTTTGTGTGGGATTAGACACTAATATTTGATTAGCAAATGAAAGTTGTTAATAAGTAGGTTTTTGGTGAATATATGGGAAAATGCTCTAAGAGTGAGATTTATCTTAAAAAGTAATGACTAATCTTGTGAAATACTGAATAATTGAAAAGGTTCAAATAGAAACTGATGACCCTGGCTTGTGATGCTGATAAAGATATTTAATCAAACAATCAGGGGTTTGAATTACTTATCCTCAAAGACCCCAGTTACCTTGAAATGACAGTAAATGATTCAGCATCTAATTTCCAGCAGGATGAATGGGGTTGTGCATTATGGGTAAAGTGGCAACATTCAGTGAATTCCAAGTTAGCAATGTTGCAGTGAGAAGCATTCCAAGGGTGTATCTTAGTACATAAAATTGATAAAATACCCTAAACTCAGCAACAGAGATATTCAGATGTTGCTTGTAGGTGCCACTAAGTCCATTTTGATTCACAGCGGTCTCATGTAGAACTGCCCCATAGGATTTCCTAGGGTGGAATCTCTTCTTATAATTTTTTAATTTTAACTTTTTATTTTTAACTGGGTGAGGGTTTACAGAGCAGTTATCCATATGACATTTTATGCACATTTTGTTTCATTTCAATGATTTTAATTTCCACAATGAAACACCACTTACCCCACTTCACCCTTTTTCCTGTTTCCATTGCTCCTTCCTGTCTAACCTATCTGAATTTTCTCCGTGCGTAAACATTGGCCTTTTGATCTCAAATAACTGATTATTGTAAACTGTGAGTACTTCCTTAATGTCATTGTACCCCTTATAGAGCAGTCTACTGTTGGGCTAAAAAATCATTTAGGGAATGGGGGTGGGGTGGTAAGTTTATTTCCAGACCTAAACTGTAAGGGCCATTGTTTTGGAGGGTTCTACCAGTTTGTTTTTTTCAATGGATTATGAGATTTCCTCTTTATTTTCTCCCACTCTATCCAAGACCTTCTAACATGATCCCTTTCAGGGCAGTTGGTAGTGTTAGTTGGGCCCCTGCTATTTCTCTGGTCTCAGAGTCATGGCTACTGATATTCATGTGATCCAGTAATCTGCTGGACTAATTTTCCCTGTGCATCTTTTATTTTCATTACTTTTCTTCCCTCTGACAGAGAGAGACCAATTGTTGAACCTTGGATCGCTGCGCTGAGCACTTAAGATTTTAGTCATAACTCATCAAGGTAGGATACACCACGTTGTCTTTATGGATTATGTTATGCAATTGCCTAGGTGTTCCTTGAGGCTCTGGCCCTGAGCCTCTAGGTCCCAAAACTCATTCCCTCAAGGTGTGTGGTTATGATGTCTAAGCTTTGACGCGTGTCCCTTGTATGCTCTACCATATCCATGGATATATTTGCAGACGTGGTAAATACCCACAGACAGATATTCTGGGTTTCCTCCTTAGGCTCTAGCTTTATGGGAACAAGTGGACTGATCTCTTTTCCTACAGAGCCACTGAGTGGGTTCAACCCACCAGCTTTTCAGTTAGCAGCCGAGTGCTTCACTGTTTGACCATCCAGTTTAATGCGCAATCGACGCAGTGCAGTGAAGGGTTGAGGACATGGATTCCAGAGCCAGATCCCATGGATTCAACTCCCAGTTACACCATTTACAAATTAAACCTCAGGCAAATGAATCTATCTCACTGGGCTTCAGTTTCCTCATCAGTAAAATATTGTGTTAAAAACATCATCTCATTTTTAATCCTTATGAGGATTACATCAGCTGATCTATGTAGAGTGCTTTGAATAAAGCCTGTGACATAATAAGTAGTATATGTTGGTTATCATTCTAAAGGTCTAGGGAAGGTTAGCTATTCAGATAGTACAGAAGGTAAAATTTCCTAATTTTATTGTTAGAAACGCTTACATTATGAGGAACAAAGTGGGAAACAGACTTATAGCAAATAGCACAAACATACACCAAGGAAATATTAGACCAAGACATATATTAACTCTTAAAAAGTGCATCTTTAATTATTTTTCTATTTTTACATTTATGAACAATATTTTCCTGAGCATCTACTATTATTCCAAGTACAATGCTAATTACTTTAAAGATAAATATAAGATACATATTAGATGATTCTGACCCTTAAATATATTATAATCTAGCTATGTGTGATTATAAACATATGTTTTTAAAAACAGTTTTATTGGCATATAATCCACATATTCAGTAGTTTAAGAAGACTTGTACAATCATTACCACAATCAATTTTAGAAACATTTACTTCTTTCTTATACTCATTGTTATTAGCTCTCCATTTATCCCCAACCTCCCCTGCTATACTCCCCCCAAACCATTAATCTAGTTATTGTCTCTGTAGATTTACCTATCTCAGATTTCAAAAAGACACATTTTTAAAAGTCTAGGACCTAATACTTTTAAGTGAAAGCAGTGTTTCAATGTAATCATTTTGAAAGATTATACATGTATTTCAATATTTCTGCCATTGCTCAAAATATTTCTGCATCTTTAATTTGGGATTATTTTAGAGCCATTAAATAGTAATTTGCAAAAACTAGACTTAGTGTTTTAGTTTAGAGTTCTGTTCTGTCTTCCTTAAACATAAAACTTCATAAGCCTATATTATTTATTAGTCTTGATTCTTCATGATTCCTGGTTATATTAAAATGTCACATTCACCCTAAAAGATGGGATATTCTCGATTTTCTCCAAAAGAAGAGACTGTAGCATTACTGGACAGTCAGTACCTGGAGGGTGAGGGGCCACTGACATCTCCAACTGCATCCAGCAGGAGCTCCACAGCAGGAGCTCAGTACAGACTTGTGTTGAGCTGATGGAAAGGCAGCACATTCGCTTTTCAGCGGCTAGAACAATGAAGTGGGCTGAGGATGAAGGGTTCCAGGTGATAGGACTTGAGTGCAATCATTTTCCACTCTGTCATTTCAGTGCTTTCATGCACCGCTTCTTAGGCATCTGGCTTTGACATTGAAGGACAGAATGGTCTGCCTGAAGCTGGTCGCAGATTTTCCCAATGTTCCTTTCTAGCCCTGGTTAAAAGAAAGAAATATACACACACATATACATACACATACACTGAACCCCCCAGACCAAACTCACTGCCTTCAAATCAATTCTGACCCATAGTGACCCTATAGGACATAGCAGACCTTTCTCTATGGGATTCTGAGACTGTAGCTCTTTACCTCTTAATGGGAGTAGAAAGCCAAGTCTTTCTGCTATGGAGTGGCTAGTGGGCTCCAACTGCTGACCTTGTGGTTAGCAGTTCAAAGCATAACCACTAGGCCACCAGGGGTCCTGTACACACATATATATTATTAATCAATAGATAATTACTTATTTTTAAGTCAAACATGTCATAAATATATATTTCCCAAGTAGACTTAAGTATGATTAAGCTAAAGTGGAGCTTTAGTTTCAACATACAGCTAGAAAAACCAGGTCCATAGGCA